TTGCTTCTTGTCTTACCCTCAGGTGCTCTGGAGAATAAGTTGACTCCCTCTTCTTTGTGGCAGCCCCTGAGATATTGGAACACTGCTATCATGTCACCTGTAGTCCTTCTTTTTTTTTAACAAATTTTATTCAGTTTTTCACATAAAAACAAAAATCTCTTTTTAGTGGACAACATATTTCCGGGTCATCACCTTTACATACAAATATGACAGCAATTATACATTCATATATGCATACTTAATTCTATTATTACCTTTTCCATTCCAAATTTTCAGTAAGGAGAGAAACAAACACATTAATTCTAGCCTCTTTCATTAATCTCAATCGAAACATCTTTTTGTTTCATTTCAATTATTTCAAATATAGTCCTTTAATATTTATTTTAAAAATAAAGATAAACATTATGTGTTTGCCTAATAATAATAATAAGTTGCCAATGTCTCTCCTTGCTTTTAATAGTCTATATTGACTTATTAATTTAGTTGATTCTTTAGTCTGTCATATTCCCTTTCCATTACACATTCTTTTTATAAATTCTAAATTAATACAAGTTTTAACACTAAAGAAAAAAACAAGTATAGGTTTCTTCCCTTTTACTGCTTTGAGTGTGACACCTCAGTGGTTAAAATATACCTTTATCCCTCATCTTGATTCCCAATAAACCATTATTTTTAAGAAGTTACAATAATAATCATTACATCTTTTCATTTGGATTCCACAGCATATTTCCCCCCCTTAATTTTTAATAAGAGTTATCAATATCTATATTACCCTATTTTCTAAATATTTTTAATTGCAGAAATATTCTTATTACCCCTTGTCAACTTGCAGAATCCCCTTTTTAATTCATCAACCATTATCTCTGAAAAAACAATTTCTTTTCAACATTTTACTATTTCTGTATTTCTTTATTTCATGCGCCTGTTTCTTACTGCTTCACCTCCCCCTCTTTTCCCCATATCTTTTCTCATTCCAGTTTATATCGCTCTCTTTCTTAATATCTTCCTTTCCCCCTTTCTGCTGGGTCTTTCTGTCTTTCCCAACTTCACAGGTATTCCCCCTTTTGATTGCCTTCTTAAGTCTCAACTTTTTAACCTTCCTTCTTTCCCCACTTCTTTGTAGCGTTCTTGTGTTAATTGTCTATTTAAGATGTCTTCTCCTTGAGTCGACTCCTCCTCCTCTAAAGCTCTTTCTTCTTGTTCTTCAATCGCCATTTCCATTTTTTCTAACACAGAGCAAAGTGATTCGCCTCTTTCCTGTAGTAATTCTCTCATTTTTAAGTTCCATTTTTAATTCCCGAAAAGATATCATCATTGCACACTCTTGTATTTTATGATCGTTAAAGTCCACAAAAAAACCCACTTTTACTTTCCTTCTTTCTTCTGTCAATTTTCTAAAGTTCTCAATTATTCCAGCCCAGAGTCTATACCAAAAACATCAATCAATCCCACAGTCAGTCTTTCCTTGCTTTTTTCTTTATTCTAGTTTGGCTTTCACTTTCTAAGATTCTTACTTTGTTTCAATATTTCTTTAATATTATACCCACACAAGTTCATTCAGAAACAGGATGCTTTCCCTTGTTTGAGCTCAAGTTTTTGTCAAAAGGTGGCACTCTCCATTATACAAAGTCTTCACCTTTTCCCCCTATTTTTTTATTTAGGGTTTTTCGAACCTCAATATTCCAACACAGTCCAGTCTCCAATTTGTAAACTTTATTATTATTATTTTTTGACAATCTCCAGCTTTATTTTATGCCTGTTTATTGCCAAAATATTTTAGTCCAATTTAGTTAAATCTTTAGTTCTGGCTTCTTCCTTTCCTTGTTCGAAGCCCAGCTTAGCTGTCAGAAATATTTTCTTATTTTTTTTCCTATCCCTTTGTAATTTTGCCGCTCGCTTTTCTTTTCTTAAAAATTCCATATTACCTTAATCCCGGGGTACTTTTGTTTAGTTGTATTGCCCAATTGTTCCGGTTCAGATGTTATCCACCTCTTTCTTCCCTCTTGCACAAATCTTAATCCAGCTGAGTCCTCCTCTTCAGGGTGGCCATTTTAAACCACCTCTGCAGTCATCTTTGGGGGGAAAAAGACCAGGCCCAGGAGGGGAGATGCGGCTCCCCTCAACCTGGCTTCCCCTTACTCCACCGCCCCTCCAAGGCAGCTTCAGCCCTTAATTGTAATGATTGGGGCTCTCCAACAAAAGAGTACGGACCATAGCCGCAGAGAGATGCAATCTACGATCTGTCAGTGAGGAGGCTCCGCCTTCTTCCCCATAGTCCTTCTTTTCAGTAAACTAAACTAGTACCCAATTCCAGCAACTGTTCTTTATTTTTTTTAGCCTCCAGTCCTCTAATCATCTTTGTTGCTCTTCTGTGCACTCTTTCTAGAATCTCAACATCTTTTTTACATTGTGGTGACCAAAACTGGATTCAGTATTCCAAGTGTGGCCTTAACCAAGGCATTATAAAGCTGTATTAATACTTCACGTGATCTTGATTCTATCCTTCTGTTAATGCAGCCTAAAGCTGGTTTTTTTGGCAGCTGTAGCACACTGCTGGCTCATATTTAAATGATTGTTCATTAGGACTCCAAGATCTCTCTCACAGTTACTACTATTGAGCGAGGTACCACCTAAACTGTACCTGTCCATTTGGTTTTTTTTGTCTAAATGTAGAACCTTACTTTTTTCACCTTGAATTTCATTTTGTTAGATAGTGCCCAATGTTCAAGTCTATCAAGATCCTTTTGTATCTTAAGCCTATCTTCTGGAGTGTTGGCTATTCCTGACAGCTTGGTGTCATCTGCAAATTTAATGACTTCCCCATCTATCCCCTTGTCCAAATCACTGCTGAAGATGTTGAAGAGTTAGAAGGTTGCAAAAGGGGATCATGTGACCCTGGAACACTGCAACCATCATAAATATGAATCAGTTGCCAAGTGATCATGTGATTAAGGAGTAGCTGCAATGGTCATAAGCGTGAAAAATGGTCATAAGCCAGTTTTTTTCAGTGCTATTTTAACTTGGAACTGTTGTAAGTTGAGGGCTACCTGTAGTTTGAGCATGGTGATTATCCCAGACATTAGCTTATTCAAGTCTATCAGGGCAAATAGATGCCTGAGGCTGAAATGAACTCTGACCTACTGTGTCCACTCTAGACAGTGTCTGTATTCCGGACATTCACCTTTAGACGTTGGCAAGCTATCTGGGAACAATAGGAGATTCACATCCAAACTTTAACTAGCTAATGTTCCTGTTGTCGAGGTGTCTGCTCAAAATGTTGGATTTCAACTCCCATGAACCCTAGTCCATATACTTTTTCCAGGTTGGTGATTAATGAACACAGGTTGCTTCTAAGTCTTATCTCCATTTTGTGTTACTCTAGAAAATTATAAAGAAGTCCCCCCACCCCCCAACTTTCTTTCATAGTGGAACAAAGGAACAAAATCAAGGCACTGTAGTTTAGGGAAGAGAAATAGTCTATTCCAATGTTTCTCAACCTTGGTAACTTAACGTTGTGTGGATTGTAACTCCCAGAATGCTGCCACCAGCATGGCTGGTGGAGGAATTCTGGGAGTTGAAGTCCGCACATCTTCAAATTACCAAGGTTGAGAAACATTCATCTATCCTATGTCTTTGGTGTCCTATCCTATGTCTTACCTGGCTGTGTTTTGCTAACTAACATTATGGCTCTTTGTCCTAGTTCCATCGCCTATCCAATCATTACTGATCAATTTTCATTTATCACAAAAGATTATTCATGGATATTCATAAAATGTAATGAAAACATAATGTAATTATGTTTGAAAAGATAGATTTATAATGAAAATGAGAATGGTGGGGGAGAAGGGGGTAATGAATAACAGCCTCCCCTTACTATTCTTGCAAAGACACCAAGTTAGCCACTGTGATTTGGAAAGCTAATTCTTAATAACAGCCTATACCAGGAGTGTCAAACTCATCTCATCATGGTGGCATTATGTGACATATTGGGACTTTTTCCCCCTTGGTGGGCATGGCCAGGGCATGACGCATCCGGCCCATGGGTTGGGAGTTTGACAGCCCTGGCCTATACTAAGGAATTCAATCAAGAATCCACATGATTCTACATATGCCTTGTATGAATTCTACATATGCCTTGTATGAAGGAAATCCCAGGTAGAATGCCTGGGATTTCCAAGTATAGCAGAAAAAACATATGTGATAAGTGGCAACAAATCAGTCTAAAACAATACACAGCTAGGTGGACTTATAATATAATATAGAGTAAGGCTTTTTCTGTGTTCCTCACAGCAGAATTTTGTTGATCCCATTAGACATCCCATATGTCAAGCATAAGGAAGACAAGTTTGGCTTGATGCCTGTTCCCCAAAATGTGCCAAAGTTTAGATGGAGGTAGGCATTATGTTTACTCACAGGCATCAAAACCTCTTTGAACAGTGTTCCTATTTATTTAGTTTTGATTTGGTTTAGCTACCTAACTGTTGCCAATTTGTCTGGTGGGAAAGTCTTACTTTCTTTTTCTACTTATTCTGGGAGGTTTTCTTTTTAAATTTTAAAAAGTAATACTAGGGAACAATTTGTCTTGCCTTTCAAAAATAGTGTAAATGAATAACATACAACATTATGCACAGAAATAGACATCCCATTTGGGCATCTTTCATTAATGATGAAAGAATAGGATAATAAAGAATAAATAATAAGAAAGCAACAGTACTGTGGTGCATTAACAGGGGTAAACAAAGATTATTCCAGTCTAAATTATCTAATCATAAGGAGAAAAATACTCATTTCTAAATATATATATATATATATATATATATATATAAACTTTAATTTATTAATAATCCAGAAAGAGGATGATGATGATAGCAACTTCAGAGTTAAAAGGAAAATATGTTTGCTCAACTGCAACTTGTCCTTTGGGTTTATTTTTTTTTAATAAATAGATAACAGCTGAGCCCAACAGCAGAGAAAGCATCCAGTAGAGCTCTGTTCTGGAGGAGAATTAAGGTACTCCTACAATTTAGTGGCTGGACATCTGCAAAGACAAGTGAGTAACTTGGACATGCTGAAAGAAATAACTTTTAGGCATAAAGATCTGCTCAGATTTGCTTTTCAGAAGTGTTGGATTACAATTCCCAGAATGTTCAGCTGGTCATGTTGACTGGGGTTTATAATTATCCGATTACAGATTGGGAAGGCTAGATAGCATGGAAGCAGAAATTGCCAGAAGGTTAGAAAAAAGCCAGGGATAGGACTGCCATTTTTAAAAATGTTCTTTAATTGCCACTTGATAATGCATGTCCTGGTGCTGTGAAAAACTCTGATAAAATTCTGCAGATGAAGCTGATATTATGGGCAGTAGGCAGGCATCCTTAGCTAGAAAATCACAGTCCATATGAAAATATGTTTTTGGGGGGTGGGGGTTGAAAACTCTGTCAACTCCCTGGATACTCCTATTTCATAAACATCCTTGCGATTGGAATTATGTTTGAATGTCATCTGCAAAGCTGATTTGGTAATATGGGAAGCTGCAAGGAGATTTTTTTTTAAAAATAAACTTTTTCTTTTTTCTTTATGGCCCTGTAAGATTTTTGTTTTATTTGTCTTTCAGTTGTGAGGAATGTAGGAGCTCTTGCAGTGTCACTTTACAAAGCCCGCATGCAAGGAAACTGAAAAGGGCTAGCAAATATGGGCTGCGAAAGAGAGGATAGCCACTAAGGCATCAAAGGATTGGATGAATTTTTTTGGCAGTGCTCAAACTCTATATTAGATTTTTGGGGTGGCATTTGGGGGATGGATGCTTAAAGGTCACATTTTATTGTCTAACTTTTTCATTATTGAGAGCCTCTGAACAGTCTGGGCTTTATTTATTTATTTATTTCTGTGATAAAAATACCGATTAAGAAAATCTTCACCACAATATCTGAGACCTGCTCTTGGCTTCTCCAAGCAAACTGAACAGAGTAACAAGGCAGCTTTCCTTCCACTCATTTTTTAGCATTTGGTAATGTGCCTTTCAGTACAAAAGCTCTATTGGAATCCTCTTGTTGTTTGCTATCAATAGACACATTCTTTGCAATAAGGGTCTTACCTACTTTGAAAGTCATATAAGCCAATGAAGAGGTTAGTGTTTTGTTTCTAAACAAAGTCACAGGCAAATGTTCCTAAAACTTAGGAAAGCTTGTGGGGTCACTCCGGGTGTCTTGCTCATATGAGAAATACTAGTGCTAATTACTGGAGCTGAACTAGTTAACGGAATAAAAATTGCTGGGAATAAAATTGTTTGCTGCAATATTGGACCCCTACAGAATGCTGGCCTTTATTATTGTTTTCTTCAGCACAGCTAAAAAAACAGTGGCAGGATGAGACAAAAACCTCTCCTGTCCTTGAATGGAAAAGGGCTTGCTTATTTTTCATTTGTTACCAGCAAAATGGAGGGTCATTGGATTCGTATGGGAAAAAGTGAGATCTCTTTGGGAATATCTGAAACAGATCCTGCTGTTCACAGAAGGAACTGACCAAGAGGCACCAGCATGCTGGGTTTTTCTCCCTCTAGGCTTCCTCAAAATAACCGGATTGGTTGGCTGAATGTTGAAATCCACAAAAGAAGCAAATTTGGGTTTTTTTTAAAAAAAAGTTTTTTGAATCATCAAAGTTTTCTTCTGAAAGAGGCAGATATTTAAGTTTTAATAATTTTCATTCCTATCTTTCTGTTTTGCAGAAAGGCAGATTTTGTTTCCATGATTTTTTTAAAAAAATCTCAATAATAAGAATAATTCAGCAGTAGAATCAATTATTCTAAGAATGGTAGGTTCTTATTCAGGATATTGGGAGAGATATTATAAGTTCCTTTGGTGTGTTCTTCTTTTGTTCAATTCAGCGGCTTTGAGAAAGACAAGAAGTATGGTTATTTTTGCCACTGAATGGTGTGCCATGAATGATACCCCCAAAAGTTGGTAGGTCCAAGGCATAAAAGTAGATGAGGACAGAGAAAAAGTTATGATTAATTGTAATTGAATTAAAATTAGGACCAACTAGTTATATGAGCTACTATGTATTTATTACTAATATATAATAATGCATTTATGAATCATTTTCTCTCGGCATCGAAAATCTAAATTTTGGAGGAGCTATGGAAATTACATTCAGGTCTTTGGGAAATTGCATCTGCTCCATTTTCTCTACAAGGTGAGAATCCCTCATATGTTTATTACTAGGATAGAGAAATGTGCCATTATAGAATGATGGCTCTCTATTCGTTAAAGTTCTGCCAACCAAGATAAAGATTGAACTATTAGCTTCTACGTGCAACTGGATTTCTTTCAGCTGTTTTATAGAAAGACTCTAGGATTTAATGTAACAGCTTCAACAAATCTCCCCCAATGTGGTCCATTTCAGATAGTTTCCAGAATTCTGAACCAGCTTAGCCTTGCATTCACTATTTATCTAGGACACAATGTTTGAGAAGGTTGGCTTTGAGGGTTGCACTGGGCTAAGTCATAGATATCTCAACAGTTTATTGCCTATATTCATTATGAACACAGTACTCTGAATGTACAGAGGTTAGTGGGTATTTATGGAAGAATGGGCTTCCTTATTTGTTACTAGGATGCTCCACTGTTACTTTTTCTTCATGGAAAATCCAGTTATTTTCCTGAAAAGCTTCTTTGTTATTTGCTTTTAAGTACTTATCTGCTGTTAATGATAGCTTGGCAGTTTTCCATTAGTGGAAAAAAGTGATACACAGAATGTAAAAAGATATAATGATTTCCATAACATTTCCCTGTGATTCTTTATACAGATTGATATATTTTTAGAAAACATCAGTACCAATTTAGTAGAAAGAGAAGCCTTTTTTAGTCTGCCAACTGAGATCAAAACGTGCCAGCTTTTGATAGCAACCTTTATCCTAACTTCTTTTTTGTGATTCTTTGTATTGAACTTTGACAAAATAACGTTCAGTTAGAATAGACTTCAACTAGAGGATTTTCCTTTGATGACTCTTTAAAAAGAAAAGTACCTTTTAAAGCTGAACATACAGGCAATCTAATAATTAAAAGCCAAACTGATAATTATGTTAAGCTTCTGATAAATTCCTGAAGGATTCCAACCAGTTCCAAAGTTGAATGTGCACCTAAAAAGAGTGTGGTTTTGTTTTGTTTTGTTTTGTATTTGCTAAGGGACTTGTGTCTGGCTCTTCATTTACCAGTTCTTATTATTCAACAGTTCTGTGATCCTACTTATCTACACTGCTTAATGCGTTCACATTCCTTGCTTATTTTTCTAAAGAAGTTAAGATTTTTTTTAACTCTTTGTTAAATTAGGAGAGTCTGACGTTTGATATTTTTGCCCATTCTTGCTGTTAGAGATTACTTAAATGAGAGAATTCAATTTCAGCATTGTTCGGTGGATTAAATAATCCTGCATCAGTCCATTTCTATAGGGTTCCTTTAATTGCTGGGTAAGTGCCTTTTCTTATGTATGAACTGTTATTAACAGCTGATGAATGTGTGCTAAGAATAGTGTAGCTAACCTAAGAAAATTATGGGAATGGTGTGAAGTTTAAATGAAAAATGAATTGTTGTCATCTTAAAGGCTTTCATAAGATTGACTCTTAGATTAGAAGCGAAGCCCATGGTATGTATGAGGAAACTCCAGACTTCAATATCTGTGTCTATAACTGTTAGGGGAGGACCTCAACCACCATTCTTAACAACCTTTGTCCCCTTCAAGTCTCCTAAGCTGAGGCTCTGTTGACCGATGCTTTCAATTATTTTGACTGTTTGTGTTTTCAAAATTAGAAATATACCTCACATTAAAGAAACACAGAGTCCCAGCATTATGTAGCAGACTGTATACACAGTATCTTTAGGTTGTTTTGTAAATGTGAAACAAGCCTTTTAAACATTCAGATCTTCTAGAATTTTCCTATCGTTTTCAGTAAGAGATTGTTGGAGAAAAAGGGGAGCATTACAATAAGTTTTGCTTACTGTAAAGAAGAAAGATAAGCAAGTAAAATGTCATATGTCTCTCGTGTTAACCTGGAATTAAAAAAAAGTTAACCCAGAGAGCAAGTAACTCAGAAAGTGATAAATACTATTTGTTAGAAATGAGGTTAAGTGTATAAGACATGAATTCCAAGGGGTCCTCTATTTTCTTGTGAGAAATATACGTGTAGGCAATTTAAGGTAGCAAGATTCTGGGTTCTTGTACTTTTTCAGCATATGGGGAAGGAAGCTTTCTCTTACGAAGCTGGGCATTCTGCACTTGATTGTTTTAAAAATCACTTATCAATGTGAAAATCACCTGTCACCTAGAGAAAGAAAATGACAACAGATGTTACACTCCTTATTTCAATGAATAGGCTTCTAATTTATTTCCCTGTCTTGTTGATATTCATAAGCTTCAATGCTCCAGCATGGCCTATTGATTCATATATCGCCGGTCACAGATCTCTGTGTTATAATTTCTCTAAGAGACATTAAAGTTGTATAGTTCTGAGGCACAAGAGGAGACTTAAGTTGGAGAGAGATCCATTGCTGTTATCAACAACATTTGTGGCAATGTGTTATTTCACTTTTGAAGAGATTTGAAGCAATTTCATTGGGAAATTTCTATATCCAGATCTAGTTGCAAATATTATATTTCTGAAGTATCAGAATGATGAAAGTAGTCTCACACCATGAGCTTCTTTTGGGGGAGGGGTATGATATCAGAACACACATTTTAAAATGGTACAGCTTGCATTGTGAAGGTGCTGCTTTCATCTTCCTGCCCCCTTTACTCCTTTCTGTTGATGTCATTGTATTGGTGGATCTCTCGGTGCTTTTTCTCTCCACTACCACCAAATGTCACCTGCCAGCAGGAAAGAATAAACATGAGATTTATTTTTATTTATTTGATTTATTTGATTTGTCAATTGCTTACAAGATAATAGGTATAAGTATATACATAGTTACGAATACATGAAATGGGTACATATAAGAAAAATAAAAGAAACAATAGGGCAGGGACGGTAGGCACATTGGTGCGCTTATGCACGCCCCCTACAGACCTCTTAGGAAAGGGGTGAGGTTAATAGTAGACAGTCTAAGGTTAAAGTTTTGGGGGTTTGGGGAAGAAACCACAAAGTCAGGTAGAGTATTCCAGACATTGACCACTCTGTTGCTGAAGTCGTATTTCCTGCAATCAAGTTTGGTGCGGTTAACCTTGAGTTTGTATCTATTGTGTATCTTGTGTTGTTATGGTTGAAGCTGAAGTATTCATTGACAGGTAGGACATTGCAATGTATGATTTTATATACCATACTTAGATCAGACCAAAGGCAGTGTAGTTCTAGGTTTTCTAGGTCTAGAATTTCAAGTCTGGTGGCATAAGGTATTCTGCAATGAGTAGAGGAGTGGAGAAACTTCTTGTGAAATATTTCTGGACTTTCTCAACTGTGCTAATATCAGATACATAATGTGGGTTCCAGACTGATGAGCTGTATTCGAGTATTGGTCTAGCAAATGTTTTGTATGCTCTAGTTAGTAGTGTGATATTACTGGAGAAAAAGCTACGTAGGATTAGGTTAACAACTCTTAATGCCTTTTTGGCTATGTGGTTACAGTGGGCTCTAGCAGTTAGATCATTAGAGATGAGTATTCCAAGGTCCTTTACAGAGCTTGGATCATCAGCAGGATCTTGACTATTCAGCTTGTATTTTATTTTCTGATTTTTTTTGCCAATATATAAGACAGAGCATTTATTTGTTGAGATTTGAAGTTGCCATTTGTTTGGCCATTCTGATACATAGTAAAGGTCTTTTTGAAGGGTAGCAGTATTGTCTGTGGTATTGAACAGCTTTACATCATCAGCGAAAAGAACGCAGTAGGAGAAGAGCAGAGAGAGCTGGACTTAAATGTGTCATCAGCTTAGAGTCTTTGTGTTGCCATAAGTGGTCCAGCCTCCCTTGAATTCCACTGATCATTATCAATTGAGATTTGAAATTTAGTTGACTAAATTCTTGTGTAGGCTTAAACAATAAATATTTCTGAATTGCAACTTAATTTATAGTCCTGATCCTTGACAGCTTAAAGACTGGTAATATCCTTTGCTGAATAAGAGGAACCCATTTGTATTCAGATTAAGGCTTAAATTTAAAATTAAGGTTTCCTCAGATTGGAGATCAGATGAAGACATGATCTTATGCAAGTGGAAAACCCTGGTGTTTGAACATTTGGCTCTGTTCAAATTATTGTTTTCAAATCTATTCATTTCACATAACATAGCTAAAACTACAATATCTATCTATGACCAAATATTTTGGGTCAGATTTTGTCAATGGATTTACTGCTATTTTAACTTGGTCGAGAGAGAGGGAGGGAGGGAGAGAGGGAGAGATCAATGAGTATTCCTTTTGCCTATAAAATGCTTGAATTAATTTAAATTTACATAACAGAACTGAGGGAGCCATTAAATTATCACCTGATGCTTTGAGTAAAATACAATATATAATATGATGTAATAGAAGCCAAAAATCCATAATGTGAACAAAACAGATATTTAGAAAAGTTGCATTTGTACTATTCGCATACAGAACAGTATTAAGTATAGCTACAAGGATTAACATACTTGAATTTTAATCCATTTTATAAAAGAATTCAGCTTTAAAAGCCAAAGTAATTTGCTTTATCAGGATATTTCACTTTACAAAAAGTATCTGTTCCTAAAATAGTAGAGAGGAAACAGAGTTAGGTTTCATGTTTTTCAGTGTTTGGTACATAGGCCAACATAGCTTTAAATGAGCAGAATTATCCCCTTCTTTTCTGCAAAACAGGATGTGGTTGAGGCAGATAGTGGGGAAATTTCTTGCATTTTTATGATTGGGAATGAGGATGGAAGAGATCTATTACTCCACTACAGTCTACCCATCCTTCCCAGGCTTCAGGTTCATTATTAACATTGAACTACATCCTCTACAAAGTTGAAAGTATCAATAGTGCACCCAAATGGATGTACAGTATTTGTAACCTTCCAAATCCATGTGAGAAGAAAATATAGGCAATCAAGCAAAGGTACACATATGTAACAAGCACCTACAATATTAGTTGCAACCCACCTGATTTAGTGTTACTGTCTGTCTGTCTGTCTGTCTGTCTGTCTGTCTGTCTGCTTGTCTTCCTGCTGCCTGCCTGCCTGCCTGCCTATCTATCTACAGTATCTATCTATCTATCTATCTATCTATCTATCTATCTATCTATCTATCTATCTATC